TCCCTCCATGAAGTTCATCATCCATCGTATTACAGTGAATTGTACATTTGCTAGTTGCTCCGTTTCATGATATGGTACTGTGGCCAACAGGTACTATACTGAGATGACCTGTGCATTTCAATAAACACTTGGCAGCTAAGGTTAACAATAATACAGTGATAAATAATATAGGTTGCAATATGTGTAACCTTGGAGAAAAGCTCTTGAATACCATTTTCTGTTCTTTCAGTCAAGCAGTTTCCATACAAGGAGCAAAAATTCTTAAAAGCTACTGAATTTCCACAGAAATGAAATGATTTTTCCAGGAAGAGTTAAAAATGATACCTTGTATTTATAATAAAAAAATCCAGTTTTGGAATAACTTGAATCATTGAATAAAAATAGCATTCGTATCTCCAAAATAATTAAAAAAGTAGTGGGTCGTTTTCTCATTTATAAAAAATAGAACATGAGTAATCATAAAAAATGTAGTAGAGAGATGTTTTTTCTTTACGATGCCTTACAGTGTTAGCAGAAATTACTCGCCTGCAAAATAAGGTGCAATTCAATGTTTTTAAAATAGCATCTAATAATTTTTTTTTTGTTGTTATTTCCTTAATTCCATTATTTTACACAAAACTGGCCTAGGGGATCACTTAACTGTCTGCAAAATAAGGTGCAATTCAATGTTTTTGAAATAGCATCTAATAATTTTTTTGTTGTTGTTATTTCCTTAATTCCATTATTTAAATCCCTTTTACACAAAACTGGCCTAGGGGATCACTTAACTGTTATAAAAAAAAATAATTAGCTCTTCAAAGATGAATAAAAGCAAGATAACATAGCTATCTCAAATTTTGTTCTCCAACTCAAATAATACAGCAATACACCAAGTGAAAATAACTTTGTTATTTGATTTGTTGTGTGTATCTCACCCCATTCACACTAAGCCTACAATACATTTATGACTAGTCTGAAAGTAGTTTACATGAGGACTTATAAGGAAGTATTAACTACAATTTCATTTAAGCAGCATAGATTAAACATGAAATACTAAATACATATTATGCTGCTTGTACATCATTGATTTAAAACTGAGCAATTTGTGATACCGAATGGTTAAAGGATAGCCAGAATAAGGACTGAAATGGTGCAAGGGTAGAGAGAAACTGCTCAACTTCCAAGAAATGGAGCACCAAGAAATGGAGTATACCATAAACATGGGCACTGCCACTTTTATTTTGAGAATTATATTAATTAGAAATACATTTCTAAGGTGTGGGCACATTGAAAAACCTTTTGCACACAATAAGTAAAAAACTTAAGATCTTACTGTCATTTCTGAGGGCGTTATTCAGCAGCTGGAAAAGTGGGAAGCTGTCCCAGGAGTCCTGCGGCTGTGCCTCAAGTGCTGAATCCATATCAACAGAATAAAGAGACAAAAACTTCTCTGCATGCTCAGCCAATAATTCTGGCCACCAAGCGAATGCCTGCAAACATGACAAAATACAATTACTAAACACGAGTCATAAAGCAAAGAGATGTGTTGTATCTATGGCAAAGTACATTTGGATATGTCACTTCATGTCCTATCTCATTTGGGGAGGATGAACAAGCCAAGTGAAAAATGTGAAAATACTTTATAAAACCTCTCATCAAAAATGTAAGAAATCAAGTAGATTATGTTAGGAAAGATGATATAATCAGAATAAAAAAGTAACACAAAAAATCAAAAAAGGAGTATAAATCCCTGCGACTCTTTTTGGCAGAAACTGAAGTAAAGAATGAAGGCCTCGGCCTTGAAAAAATACTATATATGCTTCTTATTTATTTCATTCAAATCTAAGGCTATAAGTAATCAGATTAATTTATTTGTCAAATAATTCTTGTGAATACATTTTGCACTCATTTGTTAATCAGAAGAGATGAGTTTAATGACCCCTTGAGGCCTAAGGGGTTTTTTAATAGTTACAGAGTGCTTTTTAATTCCTATTTTTGCCTTAAATATGTCGGCTTCTCTTGAGGAAGGCATCCGGTTTTCCTTCCATAAATGCTGTAAATACATCTTTAGCAATTCACTAATGCCTATATTAAATTTTCAGTAACTTAACAGCATGTTGGAATACACAGTTTTCTTTGCTAAAAATTTAGATTCTTAGGTAATCCTAGCTTAACACAAGAGAAGAAATCTGTGAAAAATAGTGTGTCAGCAAGTAAAGCCAGCTCCACATTATGGAATGTTTCACATATAACTCTTGTACTTTTTTACTGTCACTTAAATCTAGGCTTTGAAAGGTCAGTACTGAAGCTGAGTATGGGATCAGAGGGAGCCGTATGATCCTGGAGTTAAAGATGACGGTGAAGTGAGCTTACGAAATAGGATGAATATCACATACTGCTGAGAGTGTTTAGCTCGGAGTTCACGAAAACATCTGACAGTGAGAAATACCTACACATGCTAGATAAGAAAATGCCTTTGTTTTCGAACTTATGCCCTGCATTTTTAATATCTTGTTTTGAATATTTCTGAGTTACCGGCATGGGACATATGTAGCTTGATCAATACAAGTGCTGAGCTGCCACGACTTCAGATAAAGTCACAGAAATGCTCACTTGCAATTCTGTAATGCAGGTCCTGGGTAATGTAGAATTATGTACCCAGGCCTGAAAAACAACTTCAGAGAAGTGGTCTACAAATACGTTTTTGCATCCTCGACTTTCTGATGACTGCCTGTAATTCTTTTTGACACAGGGCAACTGGAGAAAAGATGAAGTGGCAAGAGGTTTTAAAGAAATGCTGAGCATCCTCCGCTGTTACTGCTATTACTGCAAAGTACTTTGTGTGCTGCAGTGTCAGGACTGAAGGACGCCGATTGGCACCATAGTGAAAAGGACAGATGAGTCTTCAAAAATTTTGGCAAGACTTTGAAATGGAGTCTTTTTCCTCAAACTGGAAGAAGTTTTTCACTATTAAATCCTGTTTAAATGGGAGGTCATCAAAGGAGCAGACTCCTTACCCTGGAAAATAACTAAATGCAAAGAAATAAAGAAAGAAGAAATGTATGCAGGCATTGGCAGGTGTCCCTTTTAGGCAAGCAAAACTCTTTTCAGAAAATATTAACAAAAACTCAAAACAAACAAAGCAAAACTAAGACCAGAAAACCAGCACGTTTTCTTTCCATCTTCTTCCCCTTTGCAAATGACACTTTGAACCCAGACAGAAATTCTTCTGACCCTCTCAGGAACTACCCATCATTGCTTAGGCAGCGAGGAAGAAGAATAGAAGAACAAATACTACAGCTAAGATAGCTGTTCAGGCATTACGGATAATATGAAACCAGGCTAAAGGCAATTAGCAATCGGTCACACACATTCTAAGAGAACAAAACCATTGACAGGATTAAAGGAAGCCTGAAGTTCTTAGATTCTAGGACACACAAATGTGGCAATACAACACCAGAAATCATCAGCACAACTTATGTTACACATTCAATGCACAGTTCCATGCTATAAACGGTGAAAAATAATGCTTAGTTCATTAGGAATCACATACCTCTCTTCCCTTTGGGAATCCCAGAAATTAGGAAGTGTTATGAATTAAAAACAAAAAAAATCTAGTATTAAAAAATGTGATATACTATTTTAGAGATTACTGATCCTTTTCTTCAACTGCACCATCAAACACTGAACATTTACATAACATTAAGATGTGAAGTCACCCTACTTAATCTTCAGTTTTGAGTATGGAATGTATAATTTTGTGATCTTGTTCTCAGATATATTTTAGCATTGAAATTCTGCATGCTCTATAAATTTCAGTAAAATCTAACATTTATTACGTGAATGAAGGAAGGCGAAAATAATCTTATAATTATCTTTATTCTTTTCAAGCTGTCTTAGATTAGATTGAAAACTTCTGCTGAACTGACTTTTCTGAAGGTACATGCAATATATTTACCCTTCCAAAAAATACCACATCTCTGACTGCAAATAAGTCGTAGGGGAAGTACTCTTTGAGCAGAGATGTTTAACCATACATGTATCATTTGATCTGTTTCTTCTGTGTTCTTTTCCACAGAAGTCTAATATTCTTACAGTAATGCAGGGCCTCAAAAGACAAAGAAACAACATATACATTTTATTAAGTAATCATTACAGAGTAACAGAGCGGCAACAGTAGCATAGAACAGGACCTCCAGGGAATTAATTTCAAATCATTGAAACAGCTGTTTCTTCAGTGTAAGATAAAACATCTATAACAAGTTCACACATGACAGATGTAAGCTAAAAACTAGATTCCATAGTGTGACATAAAACCAGATGTTTTGAATGATCATATTTATAACTATATATACACTAAATCATGTTTATCCCTTTGCATATTTTCCTCAAAAATATTTATTGAATTTTTTTGATAACGTTTTTAAAACAATTTCCTGAACCTTAGAAAACTATATTTATTAATTAAATGTTAGTAATATATACAATTGTGTGTACCTGGTCAAGTTTATTTTTGCAATCCCTTGCTATAAAAGGTGTTATAATTCTAAATATTCTAAATATTATGGTTTCTGTATTATGAAGCAAAAGACTTGAGGGTAAGAAACATCAAATGGTTCTATTTTATTTCTTCTACCTTATAATGCCATTTTAAAAAATGCAAGTTTAAAAGCAGTACTTTTCCAATCAACAGAAAAGCAATGTGGATGTGATTACTATACCCATCACTGCTTTTATGTTAAAATCAAGATCTATACAGCATGATGAAAACTACCATTCAATTATATTTTCTTTCTATTTTGAATGAGAGGTGAAAAGTTGGAAGGAACAACTGTATAAGGCTATGAATGTTTTCCATACCATTTCACCACCTCCAGCACAAAGACACTTTCTCTATTTTATGCTCTTTAATTTTAAATTCTAAACCTACAGTTCATTCAAGCAAATTCAAGTAGAGTTTTATTTCACTTCACTTTTCATCAGCTTCAAGTCTCTTATTCCTCTGTAAATGTGAACTGCCTTAAACATATGTCAGAAAGTAAAGCTAAAATGTTTCTTGACAGAATTGCTTCGCATCAGGGGAGAAAACATCTAGGAAGAAACCGTTCTCTACAGCAAATGCAGTTACGGCCTCACCTCGGAATGATGTTCTTCATTTTGCTGCAATACTTCGATACAGAGTTCTGCAAGGTGAAGAACCTCTTCCAGTTTTCTAGCAGGTGTTGCTTGGTTCATGGTCTCTAGAAAAATATAAAATACAAATCAAAATTGCTTTAGTTAGAAGTAAGATTCAATACTGAGAGAAAAAGATGCCAGAAAGGAATAGGAATGGTACAAAGTCAGAAGTATAAACAATTTCACATGTTAAGGATGATCCTTTAATACAAGTAAATGCAGCTGAATTTCCAGATCACTAGGAAGAGAAAATATTGAATTCACAAAAGAATCACTGATCTTTATAAACATTATCTAATCTAATATGCAAGAACTAACAGGTACATCAACGTATTAGATGCTCAACTTCTGCAATGAGCAAGTTCTAATTCTCTTCGAGGTCAGGTGTACAAAGACAGCAGACACTACAGACCTTTTTTGTTATTGTACCGTCAGTACAATGCCATTCTCGCTAGATGACTCATTACTGTCATCAGCAAGATTCACGCATTTTGCAGCCGTCAAAAATTCCGAATGTTTAATCTAAATAAGACACTACATGTTAGGCGTATTTAAAAGAAAAGTACAATAATCATTCAAATAACTAATTTCTAGTAACTACTTAATCAAATAACTAATTTTCTACCTGCTCTTCAGCAGCAAGAGTGAGTCTGCATTCTTTTCAGTACCATAGTGAAAAGTAGCACTATAAAATAAAGAAGTTATAACAGAATTGACACAAACCTACAACTCCACATAAAAGAAAACAGGGACAAATGTAAAAGTTACAAATGGCATGAAGATCACTCATTCTACAAAGAAGGCTTCAAAAGGACAGCAAACAACAAAGGTAAAACAAAACTAACTAAAACTCTTACAGGGGAATTAAACTCAGTTTAGTTTTCAGGTAAAAAAAAATAAAATCATAGGACTAGATCCCAGGAAGAGTCATGTGAGGTAAGGGAAGAGACAAACTGAAATTCTTTACAATTGTATTTTAATCAGTGAAAGTAATTTGTGCAGCTACTTAATTTGTATCATTAGGAATAACTTCAGTATTAGCTATCTGAGCTGCTTTAGCTAACAAAGCTCTTGTCCCTAAGCGTAAACCATGGGATGGAAATGATTCTGTACAAAACAATCACATATAAAGTATGGTTACATTAACCAGGTTTGCAGAGGATTTATGAAGCTGATAACACAAGGTAAGTGAGGGTCTCAGGAAGCCTATTTTCTCATTTTCTGTGCACATTCATGGATCACAAGAATAGCAAACCACATGAATACACATCTTCACACACAGAAAATGCTGCTGCTATTTCTTTCCCACTTTTTGTATTCATCATGGCATAGAACATTAGCAGATTAATTAAAAAACTGACATAACCTTTTTGGTGTCAGTAAGAATATCAAACTGCATGCCCTAAGTATTTTTAACACTTAACATTTCTGGCAAGTCAAAACAACTTTTCAGACATCTCAAAGGCAGGTGACCTTGTCCAGTTCTTCAAGACTAACACTCTGATGCACAGTGCCTTGATGAAATACTGCTTTAATGCAATTTTTGAAGAAACATTGGATTAGAACCTCCAGCAAACATCTACTTAAAGGCGACTACAAAACCACATTATCTTCATGTAAAAACAAAAGTGGGCAAATTAGTTAATGAAGCAATTAAAAAAAAATTCAAATCTTATTAAAATAGACCACATTAGCAGAAGGACAAGGGCATCCTGGCATGTATCAGGAATAGCGTCACAAGCAGGAGCAGGGAAGTGATCGTGCCCCTGTACTTGGCGCTGGTGAGGCCGCACCGCGAATACCACGTCCAGTTTTGGGCCCCTCACTACAAGAAAGATGTTGCGTTGCTGGAGCACATCCAGAGAAGGGCAACAAAGCTGGTGAGGGGTCTGGAGCACGAGTCTGATGAGGAGCAGCTGAGGGAACTGGGGTTGTTTTGCCTGGAGAAAAGGAGGCTGAGGAGAGACCTTATTGCCCTCTACACCTGCCTGAAATGAGGCTGTAGTGAGGTGGGTGTTGGTTTCTTCTCTCAGGTAACAAGTAATAGGATGAGGGGAAATGGCCTCAAACTGCACCGGGGGAGGTTTAGATTGGACATGAGGAAAAATTTCTTCCCTGAAAGGGTTGTCAAACACTGGAATGGGCTGCCCAGGGAAGTGGTGGAGTCCCCATCCCTGGAGGTATTTAAAAGCCGGGTAGACAAGGTGCTTAGGGATATGGTTTAGTAGTGGACAGGTACAGTTGGACTTTAAGATCTTAAAGGTCTTTTCCAACCAAAAGATTCTATGATTCTATGTTTAAATAATATGATTTCCAAACCCACAATCTAACTCAAGAAGGAGTTATTGTATGAACATGGACCAAGCACAAAATATGCACCAGGAACCAAAACCACATTCACGATGTCAAGATCATGGTTATTAATACTGTACTGAATTTGCAAATTTGATACTGTAGAACCATTATATAAATATAACCACAACCAGATTAATGTATTATGTCAAGTGAGATTAGAAAGGATTGGCCCAGCCCCTATTCTTTAGATTATACCATAAAGACTACTATTGGATTCAGACTTAAACAGTGGTTTCTACGCTTATCCTGGAATGAAACTTCTGTTTCCTCTACTGCTCAGTGTCCTCCCCTCCCTGAATATCCAGCAAGTACTGTTCATACAGCTGATACATCACCATCAGTATCACTGATGTTAATGAGTCTTAGGAATAAATCAGTGATATTAATACAGAGTATGACTGACACATTTGATCTCAGCATAAACAAATAATTTTACTAAAAATTCAGCCTGATCTTCATAGACCTTACCACTAACCAAGTAAACAAAATAATTGCATGCATAATTGCATTCATTCCTAATGAAACCAAATAGGCTGTAAACTATTTAAAAATCATATCCTAGAAGGGCTCCTCTAAATTAGCAAGAAAGTAGTTCTAATAGTTATGTTGAATTTGATGTTGCATTTTTGCATTGGACTAAGGTCACTTACTGCACACTTGGACTAAGCTCAAGATAGCCTAAAAATGGCTATTGAATGGACATCATTATCAGTAGGGAGAGTAGGAGCAAGACCATAGATTTACTATCTAACTGTAAGATCATCCTGAACCACCACTGCGATGAGATCATGATGAAGAGAAACATGGTCTCAAGGAAGTACGAATTCCATTGATCATGGCAGCTCTGGTCACCTGTGTTGAAGTGATTAACTTCAATCAGAAATGGCACTGAATGAAGAGTCTGGTTTTGTTTGTGTGTTTGTTTGTTTGAAAGACATAATAAGCCTAATAAAATAAAGGATGAAAGAAGGGATCAAAAGTGTTCCCACAGTGGGAACACTTGGGAAGGAGAAGACCTACTTATGATCAGGGATGATGCTCGCATAAAAATAAATGAGTCATGATAAATTATTTAAGCCAGAATTTGCAAGGATTTCAGTCATTATAGGACTAATGTTCAGGAATACTTTTTTTCAATAAGATTAGTGTGTTTAGGAGGAAAAAGAGGATAAAACCTGTACATTTCTCTTTGAGGTGAGTATGGCAAGTTTCTGAATGACATTTCATGGAAGGAATGACTAAAAATGTGGGACAGATTAGGCTCAGTGAATTCCAGTTTCAAGTTTCCATGAAACTCCCCATGCTATTTACTAGTTTACTGCAGTACTATCTACTACTTGCTAAAACCATGCAAATTACTCTTGATGCTTCATACAGCTTTTGATAACATTTTAAAAATAATTATTTTCCTATAAGATTTATTGACAAAAGTGGCAGATAATTGCACTCACTCTGCATCCTTGGACAAATCTCTCTAATTTTGTTGTCTTGTACTTATTCACAGAATAAATCAAGACATGCAATTTCATTTGGGTGGTATATGCTTCTCTACATTTTGCTTAGGCTTTATCTAAAGCTTCCATTTTCATCTGAAAGTTACCACATCAGCTAGTCTTTTTTCTCTGTAATTAATGACCTTTCTCTTTCCAAAATCTAGCAAATATGTGTTACGGATAATCACCATTTACACGGGTGCATAAACAAGGGGCCACAAAGTAATTTGAGAGAAAAAGAACTAAATATTAACATTTTTTTTTTTAGCAAACAGGTAGTATATTTGAAATATCAGTACCAATAAACTGTTATTTGGAAGTTTTAGAACCTCCAAAACATCTGAACAAAATACTGTACTTGTCTTTATAAGCGTAAAAACATTGCAGGAATGGAAATCAGTGCTGTCAGTTTTCATTATATTCACGATGCCTTTCTCCCCACAATTACTAAGGGTTGTTAAGATGTGTTTACACTGCTCAAACTAACAAGTTGCAGCAGGAGTCGAGTCAGTAAATATGCTGCTTGACATCTTCTAGAAAATAAACAGAAAAAGCCATCAATCATCTGTTTTCAGCTTCACATTCTGCCAAAATGAAAAAGCAAGCCAGGCTTTGCAAATAATGGATGCTTTCTCAAGTATGCATTATCAGTGAGTCACACAGGTACCAAGAAAATATTGTTAAATGAGCTAAGTTAACTGACTAAAATGCTACTGAAATGAAAAGCTAACTGCTTCACAGAGTGATAGAGCCTAGGGCCAGAAGTCTGACCTCCTGTGTCACACAGGTCAGGGAACTTCTCCCCGTTCCTCCTTCCTTGAGCCCATTAGAATGGCTAAAACCTAACTTAAGCTTGCTTTCCAGAAGGGAATTTATCCTTGAAGATAAATGTACAATTCACCTCTTGCTTTTTCTCCCTGGCATGGAAGCTGTTAAAGGTGTGTGTTTAATTTCTGATTGGCATTTGCACAGGAATCTGCTGGTTAAAGAGGTTATTCTCCTCCTCGGGCATGAGTACAGTGCAGCTGGGAGGTACCTGCCTCTGGCCTGCCAGTCTTCCCCCCGTGGCACAGCACGTAGCCCTTACTGGTTTTCCCTATCCAGTATTTCATCCTTCCTCCTTTTCTTCAGACAAGCATATCCAGACCAAGACACTCAGGAGAGCCAACCTGTCTCCAGGCCAGACGATCTCCCACAGACCAATGGCAGGGATATTG